CACGCTCCCACTTGTCCATGGAACCAGTCCCTGGTGTCCAAAAGGTATGGGGGGAGCACTGATTTAATGTACAAGAAATAGATTGGAGGACAAAAATGCCTAAAAATAAAAATTGTCTAGTAAATACATCAGACTGCCTTTAAAAACTCTGGCCTTTTTTTGCTAGAGATATTGAAACAGAGGTTAGATAGCAGTGGATTGCTGTACTAAGCAAAGGGTTGGATTAGGTGATCTCCAAACTGTGTTTAGCCTTTAAACTGTATGATTTGAACATTGTTAGTTTTTAAGCCTTTGCTAAATCTTTCCTTGGTTTTCAGGGAAAAGACCATTTAGCTTGTAGTGAAGCTTATTGGACATTAGAGGTCCTCGCAGCCCCAGAAGAGAAAAAGTGCTAAACAGATTCTTTGGTTTAGGGTAGATATTATTACCTAGTTTTTCTACAGATGATCAAGATTGCACTTGTCATAAATTCCACTCTTGAACAAGGTGTCTTGTTGTAACAATCCTTGATCATGTTGACTGCTTTGTCCATTGAATTGGGTAGTTCTGATATTAGTAAAGAAGAAAGAATCTTTGGCTCAGCCAGAGGGACTCTGTAATTCTTCCCCAAGGCCTGGGAGAGTAGATAAGTATTCGGTGATATTCTGATAGGCCTTAAGATGGGCTCCGTATAAATTAGGTACTGCGGCAGAGAAATTTTGCTTGCTAGGTTCTGAGATGACACCTAAAAGAGACACATAAAGGCAGTCAATCTCCCTGATTTCAACCGATAGACTGAAGCTATCAGAAATAGGTATTTCTTCAAATAGCTAGATCCCATCTTTGTATTATATTGCTAGCATAATAGAAATGAAGACATTAAATATACTTTAGAGACATTTATGATCCTAAATCAACTTTGTCGCAAACACTAAACCTTAGCTTATTTCAAAAAGTAGGTTTTGGTCTTCTTAGACCTTGGATAAAGAAATTATCAAGTCTCTATGCTAGATTGGGAGGCAAAAACTATCCTGGAAAAAGGCATTTCTTATTATCCTCAAGGTCAAGAAAACTATGAATAGGAACATCAGCATAAAAAGATGCTGGATTGGATTTCTGACCCATCTAGTCCATCAGCCTGTTCTCACACTGGCCAACCAACTGCCAAAGGAATCCCACTGGCCTCCCAGGAGAAGCAGTCACAGTGCCATTAAGACTAATAGCCATTGGTCCCCAAGACATATATGACTTGGTCCAACTTTGTTATTTTGAAGCCAGCCAAATGGGTAACCAGCATTACATCTCATAGTAAAAGGCCCATGCCACTTCCTAAAGTGGAAGTCAACTTGAAGAGGCTATTGTTTTTTTTATCACACCTTACATAAAAACCTTGCATAAGGTTCTAAGTAGCCTTATCAAAACTGTGCATTTTGATTGAAATATTATAGCCACTACTTCTGTTGCTCCATTGTTTTCTCAAGCTGAACCCCTAAGGCAAGGGTCTTCAAACTTGACAGCTTTAAGACTTGTGGACTTCACTCCCAGAATTCCTCCTCCAGTCATGTTAGCTCCATGATTCTGGGAGTTGAAGTCCACAAGTCTTAAACTTGCCAAGTTTGAAGACCCTTGCTCTAAGGGATAGACCACCTTAGGAAGTGGTTCCTGTAAAAAGTTCTAACACTGATCTGTGAATCATCTAGAGTTTGCCTGCCTCCTTTCAAATTCTGATGGTTGCGGAATCTGTTAGGCATTTGGAACAAGTGATGGAAGATGATCAGACTGACTTGTCGTCAGTCTGATTCTAGTTACCCCAGCTCTGTCTGGACTTTCTAGGAGATGCAGTTAAGAACAACAGGTCACCCATGATTAGGTCTTGGCTGACTTGAAGCTTTGTCTCAGCAGCAATACAGTAATCAGACTGTCCATCATGGAGGTTAGCAGGGTTCAGTATCATGAAAGTTTTATGTTCTGATTGTGTGTGTGTGTGGGAACTCCAACTAGGGTATATGGTTTTAAAATTATTATTTATTGTATTGCATATGTATCTGTTATAATATGTGATTTCAAATTGTTTTCTTATCTGAATACATTTTTAAACTTCTAGTGTGTTGTGGCCTGGTATGATTTGTGGGTGGCATTAGCTTGGAAGCTGAAGATCTGCAAGTATGTACAATAACTATATGAATGCAGACCATCAACCTTTTGGGGGGAGGCCTGCTGATTATTCTTGAATTCCATCAAGAAAACATTCATTAGCTATTGCATTGGATAGCAAAACTAGTTATACTGCTTTCTATTCAGTAAGATTCACCTCAATGTTTCAGATCCAAGGATTTCTGTCTATAATATATTAGCTCTCATAATCCTGTTGCCAACTGCCCCCCTCATTTTAGCCCCTTTTCCCTTATACAAGAAACCATAGTGGCACAGGGGTGAGAATGCAGGATTGCAGGCTAACTCACTGCTTACTGCCAGGAATTCAATTCTCACCAGCTCAAGGTTGACTCAGCCTTCCATCCTTCCGAGGTCAGTAAAATGAGGACCCAGATTGTTGGGGGCAATATGTTGACTTTGTAAACTGCTTAGAGTGCTGTAATGCACTATGAAGCAGTATGTAAATCTAAATGCTATTGCTATTGCTATATCCATCATTTAAATGTAAAAAGAGCCCTGTTGGATCAAAGTAATACCCTACCAAGGCCAAGATCCTGCATTATACTGCAATTTGGCAGTTCAAATCTCACCAGGCTCAAGGTTGACTCAGTCTTCCATCCTTCTGAGGTTGGTAAAATGAGGACCCAGATTGTTGGGGGCCATATGCTGACTCTGTAAACTGCCTAGAGAGGGCTGTGAAGCTCTTGTAAAGAGGTATATAAGTCTAAGTGCTATCGCTATTCTATGATACACTGATCAACCAGATGTAGCCTTTCATTTCTTTCATGTCTTCACTATAGCAGGTATTTAATTTATTTTAGCCATGATTCAGAAAGTGGTATCCAGCCATCAACATTGATGGCTATTGTATGATTTGCCCTCTCCCTCAATATGCATTCTAGTCTGCTTTTAAAACCATCTAAATTGTCAGCTACCATCACATTTGATAGCAGCAAATGTCATGCCTTTGTGTACAGACCTTGAATTTTCCCAATTCTTGCTCAGATCTTGTTTCATTCTCCCTGTCACTGTTTGAAAAACTCCATCTGTTTACACGTGTCTCTTGACTTCGATCTCCCCTGTCAATATCCATCTTTTCTGCAATCTTGATCTTGAACCTTTACTCAAATTTTAAGTGTGGCCACAGTATATGTTTAGCTCTTTATTCACTTGTTGATTTTTCTCTTCTGGGTTTCAAATATGGCAAACCTGTGGGGAGGAAATCTGCTTATTTCTCATCCCCACTTTGCCTTGAAAAAGTGCTGGTAGGAATTGCCACAAAGCAAAATTCAGGGGACAGCATCTAAGAAGTCTTCTTGCACAGCGTGTCAGGTGGAGATACTATTTGGGGGAACATTTTCTCCAATGCACCTGCTTTGATCTAGTCTGCTTGGGCTGAAGGGCCAGTCCTGCCATATTCAGAGTATACAGAAGGTGGGTTTTTTTCTTCTTCTGCTGCTCCTAAAGCGTATTTGAAGCATGCCAATCAAGCAGCTTATCTGAGCTTCCTCAGTTCATTGTTTGCAGTGGAAGTTTATTTAGGTCAGCCACCGACAGGTTTAACTTTCCTTCTTAGGTCAAGGTGAGGTGAAAAAACTCAAGACTCCATTGTATGATTAGTAGGTGCCACTCCTGATACCTTCCCTTTTGCTAAGCAGAGAGAAAAAATGGGTAGAGGGGACTATTCTATGAATTCAAGCTGTTTTTAATGGAATTAAATGCTCCTCTAGGCCTGATCTAGAACCATTCTGGGAAATAATTTCACTTGTTGTCCTTCTAGGAAGTTGATGTTTTATTTATGGCTCTGCCATTATGGCAGAAATCTGTGAGTGCCCACAATTTCAAAATTTTAAGTGTATTCACTGGTTTCCACAAAACTGAGAGTCCCGGCATGCGTAATGTGTGTTCAGAAAGTTTATACAGGGCCCGTGCAATTGTTTCTATCTTCCTGCATATGGCTTATTTTTCTCTCCCTGGCAAACTTTGATACAGCTGTTCCACCCATTGGATGTTTTAATTTCAAAAGAATGTATGAGACAGAGCAAAGAAACGATATAGAGACTAAGAATTTTTCTGTGGAGTTTTTCAAAGCCTACCTTGTTAAGACACTATCTACCAGGTTTGTTCAGATAAAGGTGGATACACCAAAAACAACATTACAGAAAAAATAGCCCAAATTCCACAAATTTGCCGCAACTTTTCCTCTGAGAATTTTCTATGGCAGGAGTGTCAAACTCAAGGCCTGCAGGCCAAATCCAGCCTGTGGTGCCGGCTTGAAAACAGCAAAGAACCGGCCTGCTGTGCCTTTGCCAGTGAAAATGGGGCATGGGGGGGGCTGCTGCACGCAATCCCCCCTGAGCTGTTTTCACTGGCAGAGGGCTATCAAAACAAACTGAAATCCTGCTTTAGCACTTGGCCACCACAGGGATCCCCGACACGAGTGATGGCGAGCTGGCCATGCCCACCATGGCCACCCCCACCCCCGGCCATGCCCCATGGCCCTCAAGAGGTTGAACACAACCGTGATGTGACCCTTAATGAAATCGAGTTTGACACCCTTGTTCTATAGCAATTGCAAATTGTGAGATCTCATATGAGTGTATTGAAAATTTGTAAGAAGTTGTCATCTTGCAAGTTTGCCTCAGTGTTGTTATTTATGTTTATTTTACGGTCTAATGCCCTGAGCGAGAAGGAAAGCCTTAAACAAACAAAAAGAAAGTAAGAAAATATTTAGTAGCATAAAGTTTATTTACCTATACAAAATCATAGGTCTCTGAAAAGTCTGTAGCAGTAAAAGAATAAGCAAAAAAGATTCTCTTGTTTTTAAAAGGCTATATAAATATGCACAAAGAAATAAATTATTTGTGTTTTACATTTTCAATGTTTATTCCAAACTTAAAACTTTAATAATACAAATGACTAAGGACCAGCTTAACAAATTCAGCTTCTCTCTGCGAGTGTACAGCCTGTGTGTGTGTACATGAATACTCACAGACACACGTATATATATATTCATGTGAGCATATATAGAATTCTTTGTACATGCTTTGGAGTATCAGTAAAAAGATTTGTTTTTTGTTTTTTTGCCAGAAACTATTGTATTCACAATATGAATAAGGAGTGATGCACCCTATTTTTTAAAGTCCCAAAACAGCACCATTTTAGAGAATCCTGAAGCACAGTGTAACTGAGAAACAAATGTAATTGTTTATAGCTGCAAGTCTGATAGATGGTGCTTAGTTTAGTCCCACAGATAGACATGAGGTAGGCTGATCCTTCCTGGCGAAAATCTGTAATTGATTTTTATCTCTCTCTTTTGCACCAAAATGAAAATTTATTGATTTGATTGGAAACGGTCACTTATCATCCTGTGGTCCCAATTATAGCAGTCAATTGATAATGAAGGCACACATCATAGCTCAAGATAAGCTGATTTCACAGAAGAGTGGAAACAAAACATGTATCCAGCTCCTGATTTACCAAACAGACTCTTGGCAAGATTGTTTATTCTAGATCAGGGGTCTCCAACCTTAGCAACTTTAAGACTTGTGGACTTCAACTCCCAGAATTCCTCAGCCAGATTTGCTCCAGAAGTTGAAGTCCACAAGTCTTAAAAGTTGCTAAGGTTGGAGACCCCTGATCTAGATTGTTTATTCTTAATTCAACTCAATTTCTAAACTGGACTGCTTCCTGGTTTGCCCTGTTCCCAATCACTAGCCAATCCTTAGCCAATAAGATCCTCCTCATCAATCAGACTTCTTTGTGCGTTTGTTCTGCACACCTTGTACTTTTCCATTTTAATGCCTATCGATTTCAAGGCACCTACACGGTGTAATTAATATATTTGCATTCACTATTAAACAAAAGAGTAATACTGGCCCAGATAGCCCTAACTGGTCAACTACAAAGTTTCTGTTTCCAAAGTCATTGAGTATTACGAGACTTCTGGACAGAGGAGCCCTTGATGCTTGTATTCAACGGTTATTGTGCTGCTCTTCTGCCTTTTTTTTTTTAATATAAGGATTTTGTTTTGTTTTTTTCTGGAAAAAATAAACACAGAAGGGGGGGGGGGGGGGAAATCTGGGAGTGTTGCAAATGGAAGACAGTGTTAGCTCTAGTAAACAATTCTGTGAAAGCACCTCAAACGTGTCCCGTATTGAACCTTGACAATTACAAGGCAACATGGGAAAGGATAAGAAGAGAACATGCAAAATTGCATTAACAAAAAGTCAGGAGAACCATTATGCTTTCTTACCTTTATGTGCAACTGCTTCTCGCTCCCACCCCGACCCCATGTTTAAACTTATGGAAATATATCCAAGATGGCATATCTTTAAAAGACCTTTTAACCTTATTCGGAATACTGTTATTTAAAACAAAACACACACACACACACAACCAAGCATCCTTCAAGTAGCATTGCAATTACAAAGCCAGTCCTCCACACGGTTCATTATGCTTGTGGCATCCTTCAACAGAACCTTCTTGATAGGCAGATGTGACTCTCTCGCGTTGCCTGCTTCTCTCTCTCTCTCTCTCCAAAAATTGTGCTGCTAAAAAATAACATTATCCCAACAAAGAATCTTCTTTTCACATTTTGGGATGTTTTGCAACGTCCACCACAACTCCCCATTTTCAAGGAAGGAAGGGAGGAAGGAAGGGAGGGAGGGAGGGAGGGAGGAAGGAAGGAAGGAAAGAAGGAAGGAAGGAAGGAAGGAAGGAAGGAAGGAAGGAAGGAAGGAAGGAAGGAAGGAAAAAGTGCTTTCAAAAATACTTTAACCCAAAGTAGCCTCTGAAGGTTAGGAGCTTTAAAAGCAGACAACTGGAGTCCTCTTCCTTTTTTCGCTGAGGGTATTTGGAGTCATACTGTTGTGCTAGCGTGGGTGAGATTCTTCCGGTTTCTCTCGCCAAATGCTTCTTGTCCTCCCAGCACAAATCTCCCTTATGGAGCTGCTGCACCAGGAACCTTGTTTTCGTAGGGAAAACCATGTAAGGTGCAAGGCACGTGGGGCATTTGAAGGAGAGGGCAGGTTCATACTAAGGTCCCAGGTTTTGAATCCTCATGCCAGAAGAGTCTCTGCTCGTTTTCTTGCATACCATCTTGCAAAGGGTTCCTATTGCTGTTGCCCAACTGGTTAGTTTCAGGATATACCCTGGAAAAAAAGCACAACCATCAGTGGGTGGTTAGCCAGGTGGTCCTCTAGAGTTCATCCAGGCGGCCTTCTTTCTAAGCAGAACTCCCAATCCTTTGAAGGGATGTCCTGAAGCCACTTTTAAGAGAAGGCAGCTTGCATTATGCCATTTCCTGACATAAATGAGTGGAGGTCCAAAAACCCCAGGAAGTTAAAGTGTGCATGGAAATTCTCAATCATCCAGGTCATGGTTGTCCCAAAAGTGCTTTTCCAAAAGGCAATTGACTTCCTTGGGTTTTGTTTTTTGTTTGAAAGCGTTTTGCTTCTCATCCAAGAAGCTTCTTCACTTCTGGAAATGAAGAAACTTCTTGGATGAGAAGCGAAATGTTTTCAAAGGAAAAAAAAATAGGAAAGTCCAGTTAACTTTTGGAAAAGCACCTTTGGGCCAGGAAGTTAAGTTCATTCCAGCTTTATGAAGGCAGGGTGTTCAAAAAATACAGATGGATACAGTCCAACAGGCACACAGCCAACAGCAGTTTAGATAACAATCGATCTGTTATACAGGCAGACCTCGAGTTGGTGACCATTTGAAGTTACAATGAAAAAAAAAGTACTTATAACCGATCCTCACCCTTACGACAATTGCAGCTTCCCCACAGTCACAAGTTTGTGATCCAGGCATTTGGAAACTGGCTCACACTTACGGCTGCTGCAACCTCCCACGGTCAAATGTTTGTGAATTGTGAATTTGCTAGCTGGTTTCTGACAAAATGAAGTCAGTGGGGGAAGCTGGCAGGAAAAGTCCCAAACTGCAACCACGTGATGACAACCGCAGCAAAAAAAAGATAATAAAATTGGATGCCTCCCTTAACAACCGCACTCCTTAACAATGAATGATCTAGTCCCAATTGTGGTCATAAGTTGAGGACTGATGTATTTGTTTTAAGTCATCACCACTGAACGTGTAGCAATTGTAAATGATATCCTTATAACTAAATACCCATTAAAAAAATACACAGAAATGTATTTCTATCTCATCCCACCCTGAACATTTAGGATTGGTTTATACACAGAATATGTGTATCTATACCTTCTGACGGGAGTGGAGAAGCATTTGTTATGAAGCAAGCCTCAGTTTACAAAATGGCCTTGTTGCAATAAAACAGGTAAGATTGTCCTCATTTAGCAACCATAACTGGGATTGTCAACTCAGTGAAGCAGCGAACTGTGTTTATGATCTTATTTCAGCTTTCCTTTGCTTTACAAACCTGTGAAGGTTGTAAATGCAGAGGGTTGGTTGCAAGGTACTTCTTTTATTACTATCACAACTGTTGAATGGTTGCTAGATGAGGCAGTTGCTAAACGAGGACCCCCCCTGTAATAATAGTTTATAGCAAGGATGGAGAAGAAGTACCTCTTGGCTATTTATAGGCACCCCAGTTCCTAATTTGCAGTGCACCCCAAGTATGATGTTGGAATTTGGTAGCAAAGCCACCTCTTGTTTTGTTTTTGTTCTGTGGCAAAAATGTGCTAAATAGGCCTTGGCAATTCTCCTAAAAGATGCCATTCATTAAATAATAAAAAGGAACTCACAATGTTTGTTTGGTGATATATAATTTTTCACCTTTACGGTTTTTTGTTTAAAAAAAAAAATCACCTGGAACAGGTCAGTTTTAAAAGCCTTTAAAAGCTTTAAAAGGAAGCAAATGTACAATATGCTTAATTAATTTTGCTTCATTTTAAAGCAAAAGCCCTATATCACAAGTTCGCTTCACCTTTGGAATCTGCTCAGCAATAAGCAAGTGTGTCATCAGCAATCCTCTAGTTCAACCCCCCCACCCACTGGTCAAAGTGCTTGGATCCTCTTACTTCAAGGTATTTTAACATCAAGTCATTCCTGCAGATGTTAAGACAGAGAAAGGCTTTGTTCTAAGGGAAAAAAGAATTTAAGACAACAGAAACAGAAAAGAGAAGAGAAGAGGAAGCAGGAACAGGCACAAAACAGGGATTAGGGATACAAACATTAGGGATTGGGGGCGGGGAGCAATTGGCAGCATTGGAGGGAAACTTTAAGCTACTTGCTGTTGGCAGACGTGCCATGAAAGCCAAGGAGAAAATACAAGAGGAAAAAACAGTAGTTAGAAACAAGGCATGAGGGTTATGGGTGGCTGAAAGTGGTGTCCTCGGAGAAGCCATCTGGATTCTGGAGGACACAAATGCCTTTTGTTTTAAATGCATAAAACCTGCATTTTGCAGCTTGGTATCCCCTTCAGCTATTAAGCCACAACTCTCATCCTCGCCAAACTCAAGTAAACAGGCTAAAGGTGGCTGCCCTACCTAGTCTTACGTGTATTTTCAGAAGCCTGATTGGAAAAGGAGACGAACAGAATACACAGGGGACGTCCGAATGACGGTACCTTTGTCTTTATTTATTCATCAAATTTGAATAGCTAGCTGCCCATCTCACAAAAAGCGGCTCTATGTACAACAATTAAATATTTTTATACTTTCCTTTATTTATTTGACAGGACTTAGAACTCTCCCCAATCCCCACAGGAATATGGCATGTAACACAGGATTATGGCATATAATATCAAACAAAAGGTAAACAAAAGAACATAGGATAAACAGTTAAATCCAGAGCGGTACAAAAAAAAATCCTGAGGAAAGATAAAACCTCAAGACAGCCATCTGGCACCAAAAGGGTGATGAAATAAAGCAGTTTTAATTTGTTTATGGAACAGCAGAAAGGTGTGGGCTGCACACATTTCTAGAAGGAAGTTACTCCATACTTTGGAAATCATGACAGGGAAAGTCCCGTTTTACCCATTTCTTGCAAATGTCAGGAAGAGAGAGAACTTTCAGCAGGTCCTCTCTTCATGACTGGACCGGATGGGCATATTTTGTTCTGACAAGAAGTTGTCAGATGCATCAAGTTAAGCTTTAACAGTAATTACCAGCTCTTTGAATTCGGCCCGGATTGTACTACCTTTGTGCATATACATGGTACATATTAAACTGGTCTAATGTAAAGTAAAGGGCAGACTTCAGGAAATCAGGTGCTGGAATGGGACAATTTACATTATATATAGCCTTATATTTGTGCTACTTTGTCTCCCTGCTGGCTCATTGTTGGCTTCATCTGGTGTGAGATGCAGCACCTGATCAGTCCTATACAGATGCAGTCTTTGACTCTCTCCCAGCCCACGTTTCCCATTCCAGTTTATGGTTTTTGCAACAGTGTGCTACAATTTATCAAGCAAAATTTTCAGCAACACAAAGCGTACTGTAGGGGTCGCTGTCCAACAGGTAGGTCTTTCTATGTTCGCGAAAGCTGCAGAGATAAATCCACGGCTCACCTGCTCTGCAGTGGGTGGTTCCCATACACATTCCCGTAACAGCTGGCAAAAGAGGACTGAGATAGCGTATCACAATCAGGAAGTCCTAACAAAAACTGATTCCGCCAGTTCACGGAGGAATTTGTTGAGGATGCTAAAATGGAGGAGATAAGAGATAAGGAGAAAAGAATGTCAGCAATGAATATTTTCTTGATTTGGATAACAACTGCTTAGATAAAAATTTGGCTAAGTTCAAAGCACTGTACAAAACATCCCAGATGAAAGGGCAATGCCCATCTGATTAGGAGAAGACTCCTTTTAATATAGCCCCCTCTCCCGCAAATCCAACACCTGGGACTTGGATACCAATACATTTACAGGAACATTGTGGGGAAAGCTTATCTTAAAAGTATTTATAATTTTTATTCCAGCTTTGCTGATATAAGGTGAACTTTAACAAATTAATGCTGAGCTCACTGGCTTTCAGCAAAAGAGATGAAAGATGAAATTAAACATGATCATCTCCCTGGTGATGTACTCATTAAGGTGTTGGATTTGGACTGAAAAAACGGCTTTAAATCTCCATTTAGCATGTGCTAAATGTGCTCCGGGGCCATCGCTCTTTCTCTAACATTTGGAACTGTATCTGCAACACCAGACACATTTGATAGACCTGCCTTCCCATAGGAGCTCATTATAGTCCCTTTCTCAAAGTTATCCTCTCCTACCATTTGGGTTGGTTTGGGAGAGAGACTGAATGTGAGTCTTTACCTGAGTTTTCTTAATTCTAACCCAACACCTTCTCTCCCATCTAGGCTTTGTCACATTTTAAGATTTTCTGAAGTTTGTGTACTATTATTATTATTATTATTATTATTATTATTAAAAAGTCTCCCCGATTTCCAGGATGGTATGATAAACACCTGTACAAAACCCATACATTTGGGATAACGTTTTAACAACAATGAGAGGCTGCAAATACTTTACCTCTTTTTCAATAACATTTAAAAAGTTACGGAAATAAGAAGCTGCAGAATAAATTCTACAACTATTGTAACTATCTTATGGACTTTTTCACAGCACAAACATTGGGTGCCTTTTAGAGGTATCTCCTGTGATTAAAACACTTGGTTCCTTCTGGGCCCTCATTGCTATGGGAGACAGGATGTGGGACTTGATGAGCCATTTGTATGAACCAGTAAGTCTTGTCTCAAATTTCTTAACCTCCTGCACATTCTGTTGACACCCGATCATATTATAAACCAGTATGACTATTCTTTTAAAACCAGTATAACAGGACTCTGATCAATACTTGGCTAAAATCCACAACACTTGGTTTAGAGTTTTTCTTATTCCTTTTGTAAATGATACAGTGCCATGACTAAACTAACCTAATGAAGTGGTACACTTAAATAGTAAGTTGTACATTAAAAGTTGCGTGTAAATAATGAATAAAATAGTGAGTAAGTGCTGACATCTAAATTTACACATGAGTAATTCTCTCACTCAAGCTATAATCTATAACAGGTACAGCCAAGATCTACATTATCTGACATTTTGAACTATTGCTATGAGCACCGATCATGCAATGGTAGGTGTTTCTAGAAATCGCAGTCTAAGACATCAAAAGGATAGTAGATTGCCTGTCCCGGATAGACATTTACTATTTAATACTATTTAGTGCATCTAACTAGATGTTTTGGGGATATTTAAGGACTACAGTCCCAAAATTATCAGCCGGATGATGGCTATCATTGCTGGGAATCCAAAGTGTTCCATTCCCAATGCAGTAGGAGAAGACTAGGGTGGTAAAACTGGCTTTTCTTTTTTATTCTATTTACTATTTATTTTAAAATACGATCCCTTTTTAAAACACTAGTAAAATAAATGACAACATAAAAATCAGTTGAAAACTCTTTCGGCTTCCAGGCAAACTGTACAACCCTGGACTCCCTTGTACAAATTCAGCTGTGACACTGAATGCAGTATGCAGTGAATACACTATTTTATGACACTGGGTAAAATAACTTTTTAAATAGTGGACCACTATTCTGTTAATAATAGTGAAGGATTTTGTATGCTCATATTCCAGATTCCCAAATCGCTCACATTTTTAACCTCCCAACAATTGGAGAATTCTCTTTTCTATACTTTACCTTGCCCTTTGTGATGAGTAATCAGATAAGAGAACTAGCACCCCCCTCCAGTGATAGTCAGAGACACTTGCAATCTAATTAAAACATTTCCCTCTATCCACTGGGAGGAGGATTTTCCACTTATGAAAAGAAGAGCTTTGTTCATGCAAATAAATGGATGACATTTCATACTGAGTAGAAAAACCTTCTGCCGGCGGAGTGTTGTGGCCTATTGGCCGCCGGCTCCTCCGGCAGCCGAATCAGAAGAGGAGAAGGCGTGGGAGTCAGGGTCAGCATCAAGGCAACCTGAGAGCTCCGAGGGGGAAGAGGGAATGGAGCTGTAAGAGAGAGAGACAGAGATGGTGCCTCGGCTGTCCGTCAGCCCTCAGATGGAGAGTCAACAGTCCCCAGGTCTGGAGGTGGCTGATGCGGAAGGGGAGGAACAGCTGGGTCCAGTGCCTGACGTGCAGATGCGCAGAAGGCAGAGGAGAGGAGAGCAGTGGAAATCCATGGGCCGATCCTTGGGAAGGAGGAGCCACTGCTGTTAGCGAAGCCCCACCCTAAGCTCTGGGGATAAAAGGCAGGGGGTGGAGTTGAATAGAGGTGGCAGGCAACTATTCATCTCCCTCACAGACAGACTTGTTAGCCTGCGAGAGAAACTTTTTGCCGGGGCTGCTAGTGCTCCTAATAAATTAACTTCAGAGGGTTTGTCGTGTTTGGGGAGCAGGATCAGAACACAGAGGCCAATATTCATGCATTGGACTGAAGCATGCAAGATCTCTGAGGAACACTGACACAGAACAGAGCAGTTACAAAAAAAAAAAAAAAACAAACCCTAACAAGCAGTACAGTTACCTAAAGAGAAAGAAGATGAATGACTGCTTTGACAACTTAGCATCTGTAGTCCAGCATAGCCTAGGCCTCTCTGGGACTCTCGATCAGCATCAAGGCCCGCCTGCAAGCCAAGAACCTGCTCTTTTTGTCCAGAGGCACGCTGGTACCAACCACGGAGATGCTCCGCAACTAAGGCCTTGTGGATGTTTTTAGTGATGTGCTCTGTTTTCATGGACGGCTTCCGTGGCAAGCGCAGCGTGGCGTACGGATTGTGGGGCACTCTCTCCATTTCGTCTTCGTGGAAAGATCTGAATTCCCGATATCGGCGTTCGTACCCATAGGGTGCTGAGGAACGATAGGAAGGGTTGACCGTGTATTGGCCCTCTGTGCCGTTCTCATAGACGTAGCCACTGTTGTAATATATGTCGCCCTCTTTAGAAGGGGTATAGCCAGAAATGTAGCAACTGGTTGGCATCTGTCCTTCCTTTTTTACGTAGACTCCATTGCAGTTGTCCTTCTGGGCTAGGTTAGGCATACTTCCTGAGCTGGAAGCAGAAATGTTCTGTTTCTTGGACCGCCTCCTGTTTCTAGTGCGGTTGTCAAGGGTTTGGGTGCTGTAACAGGGCTTTGAATTTGGGGTCATGCAGTAATACTCTGCACTGGATTGGCTGGTGTAGGAGGATCCGTCATCTAGGATTTCTGTGCTGCTACTTCTTTGGGATTTTGAAAAGGCGAACATTGGCTTTTCACTGGGGGTTTCTGATAAGAAGGTAGTTTGGGTCTCCAAACAGCGCTGAGGGGATGTATCCGGTCTGAAAAAAGAAGCAGGTTTTTTGTTACAAAGAAAGCAGACAGTCAGTTCCAATAACATCATAGAGCAGGGGTGTCAAACTCAAGGCCCGCAGGCCAGATCCAGCTTGCAGGGTGCTTAGATCTGGCCTGCGCGGGGCCACCCTGAAAACAGTGAGGGACTGGCATACAGTGCCTCTGCCAGTGAAACGGAGCTCAGGAGGGCCACGTGAGGCCCTCACGAGCTCCATTTTTGCTGGCAGAAGGTTGCAGGAGGCTGTCGCAGCCAGAAATGGAGCTCGAGAGCCTGTTTTTGCTGGCAGAATATGACATGATTGACGTCGAACTGCCGATGCCCACCCTGGCCATACCCACCCCAGCCCCCTGAGGTCAAACGCAACCCTGATGCGGCCCTCAATGAAATTGAGTTTGACACCCGTCATAGAGTAACAGATGCAAAGAAAGAATGGTACATTTCAAACAAAGCAGGCAAAGTAAAAGATAAGTAAATACATGATAGAATTCAACAACACAGCAAGATACCTACAGATAGTAGCATCACTTTTTTGAGATTTTTCTCAAGGAAAATCCTAACAGGTAGGATTTACATATGAAGTCGAAAAGGGCCACAAATTTATTTAGTGCTATATTATGCAGAAGAACTTTATTCTATAGTTCAATAAAATCCCTTTTTTTACAATCCTGTAATTCAGGGTAATGTCAGAACAACTGTATGGAGCTGAGCGTTTACTGGCCGCTGTCCTTTCTGACCCCAATGCAGAGTTCGCAGCAAATATTTTATATTTGTGCCCAGGAGAAAAACATCTGCTGCTACCTAGGATTAAACTCTCAACCTTCCAAGTGGGAGGTGAGTATCTCCACAACTAGGCCACTACGCCGTTCCTTAGTCTATACTTTAATAAAACTGTAGAATAACAAGCAGGTTGGTATTTCACTGCTAATGAATAAACCCTACATACCTTATCACAGAAATAATTTGTAAGTGAACAGTTAATTACCTTTATAATCAGCACAATAACATTCAACTAAACAGGTAAAATATTATCTTGTATGAAAATTAACAATGAATGCGTCTAAGGTGGCAATTCAGAGGTGGTATTCAGCAGGTTCTGACCAGGTCTGGAGAACTGGTAGTGGAAATTTTGACTGGTTTGGAGAACCGGCAAATACCACCTCTGACTGGAGATTTTATAGTATCCTTTCCCTGCTACGCCCACCAAGCCATGCCCACAGAACCAGTAGTAAAAAAATTTGAATCCCACCACTGTGGCAATTCACCTTCAAACTAACTTAGGTAATAATATGACACTATTACTTCTCCTAAAGCAACATAATTCAGAAGTGGGCACTTTCTGTTAAATCCCAAATGCCCATTCTTTGGTCCTCAAAACTTCTAGAGACAAACCTATATGTGCGATTTCCAAAGGAAAACAACATTACTCAGAGTAAAAAAAATTTACTCTGAAGTTCATATATAAAATATTAAATCCCTCAATTCATTAAAATCCTTCCTCCCAAACTTGCCACATCCATTTGTGTAAAACCATAAATGTCTTGTCCTTTGTACTTCCTGGCTAACCCTTATTTTGGCTGACTCAATTTCTAGCTTTGAAGACTATAAGCCCGTTTAGTTCTACTGTACCTAAAAATAATTAGAAATAAACTTCCTGTTCAAGAATTCTGATTCAAAGATGTTTATGCATCAAATTCACCTCAACTGCAGCAACTCAATTGAGAACTATAGTGGACACACTTAGAAGTTTTGGCCGTGATATGCCTTTTGTACACGAATGGGTACTCAAGTGAGGAGAATAAAAATAGCATGGGAATGACTTACTGCAAGTGACTGCTACTGTAGGCATTGCGTGTGAGGACTGGTGTTGTGGGCATACTTCTTCCTCCATGGTGTTGCTTCTCGGCTGTCCGATATGGACTGCTGTGAGTTGACAGAGAATCTCTATGATTAGAAACAAAGGGATCTAGTGAACAGCATCATCCCAGTATATTCAAACCAATGCAAAGAGTATCAACATCAACAGCGCATAGAATAGCGAGTGCTAACAGATTGCCTGCAGAAGAGCATCATACTGCAAACTACTTTGCAAAACAGTTGTTACAGGGCAGAGGGAGAAATGATCAAAGTTAATGGCACACATTCATTATGAACTATTAATATATTATTCTTATATGTTATACCAAGGAAAAATAGAAAGTTTCACCTAATGAGACTTTTTAGCAGTGAGAGGGATGGCATATAAATGTAATAAATAAAAAAATATTAATGAAGATTCAGATAAGGCCCTGGCTCTATTCATATGGCATCATGCATGTATAAGGAGTTCCCAGTTTTCTGGTTCTGGCATTTTAGCAAGGAGCTGCTTAAAATGACTCCCTGATCAGAAGGAGTTGGAAAGGAAAATCTTTTGAACCTGAGTGGTTTGTTTAGTCCTGCCATTTTTTTTCTATAAAACTAGCTTCTGGTGCCAAGCAGTTGAGATGTTCAAGACCACTGCAAAATCTGATTAATTATGAGATATCGAATTACTGTTAATTCGGAGAAACTAAATAGCTAGATCTTCTCTGGGACAATCTGTTCCAGAAGTATCTATAAATTTACATTCACTTCGTAGGTGAAAGCTTAGACTAGAGAAATCACAATGAAAACAGAATGCAAGCTCTTTTGTTACAAGGCATTTCATGTGCATCTTTTAAGAGAAAAACAATCAATCATAGCAATAGTTTCAAAAAGAGCCCCTGTCACTTTAAAGTAACAGGCAATGCATGATTTTTTTTAAAAAAAGAGCAAAGCAATAAAGCTGTTGTAGCTTGAATATCATCAATGGTCCCATACCTGGAGTGTCTCTGTTCTAAGAGTTGTTCATTCATGGAAGACTTCCGGAGATGGATCTTCTCCACTCCAAGAGTTTTGGGTGGTGGAGAGGCTGGCAGAGAAATTATTCTTTGGACTGCCACAGTAAGGGAAATATTGCCTGTTTAAAAAGAATTGGAAGAAACCACATGATTTTGTGTTATCTAATCCTTACATAACTCTTTATATTTCTATTGAAAAAAATATTCAATTTCTTCCTTTATGAACCCGAGTTACTTTCACAAAACCACGGAATCTGAGATGAAGAAGCAAATTAAATTATTGAGTCCATAATGCTGTTCAATGATGATTCCAAATTTGACTATTTCACAAAGATGGCTGCACGCTGTCTGGATTAAATTCATCCAACCAAGGAAAGCCAACTAAACATTCAATCATCTTGTAATTAAACACTTTATTCCATGTACAAGACTGTAGGGTGACAACTGGTTTTGTCTAGTCCTAAAGAACTTTGAGGATGCATTATGCTAAGGCTGTGTTTTGATTGGACAATTTTTGAAAAGAATTTGATACAAATAAAACTGGAATGATTTTGACCTGAAAATTCTATCTTTAGTTCAGCTAGGACTTCAAAGAAGTCTAAATGGATAGATTCCATTCAAAAACTGGAGGAGGATTAAAGCTTTATGCCACAATGATGGGTTTTTTATTAGCAGTTTCTTACTTGGCTTACAGTTAACTATTGTTTGAAACTTTTAAATGATCACCATCAATCTTTTCTTTTTCTTTTCCCAGTTAGGCATCTCGGAATGTACTGTGTAAAGTGATAAGAACAGTAAAATATCTTTAAATGCTGCTGGCTAATAAACTGGTCAGTGGTTGACCACTTGTGGAAAACTCAGGCTATTTTGATCATTTCCAGAGTAAAAATTTAGAAATTGAGAATTTAAAATTTTTCTCCACTTCAGAACATGACCATATGATTCAATCCAATGCTGGTAGACTCACAGCTTGGTTCTTGAGACCAACCAACTGGAAAGCATTGCCTCATCAAAATGAAAGAATTTGGCATTTGTTGCACATTTTTTTATGTGATAATAAGTAGGAACAGTGGTTTTTTTTTAGGACTGATGACTAGGCAAGGGAGTGTAGCTAACCCAGCCCAGTATTAGCTGGCAGGAAGTAACAAACCCGGGCATCAGTGAAAGATTAAAAAGGATAACAATTGCTTGTTTATATGAGTTAAATGTTTGTGAAGATTAGGAGATTGTATCAGCATACCGTCTTTCTTCTTTCTGCTTTAACCCATTAGCACGTGAGTTTCTTTTTGTATATAAAAACCAATGGGTTGGAATTATAACCTTCTTTACTATCTGGGATCAGTTTGGCTGAGAATTCACTGGTTCACATCAAACTCATTGAAGGTGTTTGATGGACCAACAGCAGATCCCATCTCCTTGCTCCCCCTCACCTCCTGCTCCCTACCTCCCCCACATCTTTTAGTTATAACCTGTATTTTTGCAGTGTTTTCATTTTGTTTTTACACTGCATATATATTTTAATGTTGTAAACCGCCAAGTCTATGAGGTCAGTGATCAAAATCCTGGGCGATCGGTTCTTTTGGAGCCAGGGAAAATGAACATGCTGGTGAATAAAGAAAAATTTAGGCTTTATTGTTTAACTGTAGCAAACAGATTGAAAAGCAGTAAAGGAGAATATTTGTAGCTCAGGGTTGAAATGAGGAGTTCTTTGGTGCTCTCTGAGCTTGCTTGTTTTCTTGTAGATGTTTAATTACCCTAAACCAGGTAACATCATCAGGGCTAGTAAGGAGTGCTGTTTGCTGTCAGTTTATATTCTGATGTCTTGTCTGTCTGTGTGGGTGGGGGAAGTCTTAGGGATTCTCACTAAAAGAATCCCTAAGACCACCCTACACAGACAGGTAAGACACCAGAATATAAACTGACATCAAACATCACTCATTACTCTCCCACACTGTTGAAAATCTGCTTCTATGGGTTTGCTCTTACAAACACATGGACACAGATATGATTGTAGCAGTGGCGGGATTCAAAGTGTTTTATCACCGGTTTGGTGGGCACGGCTTGATGGGCATGCTTGGCACGCGTGCACAAACGCGTACTTTGCGCAGAGGCGTTCCAACTCACCTCCTGCAAGCCTGACCCTCCCGGTCGCTTCAGCAGCTGCCGTGCAGCACTCTGCTGTGCCACGCAAAGCAGCTGCGCTTCAAATGCAGAGGATAAAGCAGGGAGCCCAGGCGGGTGAGCCCAATAGCAGAGCAGCAGAGAGAACCGGCTTGGTCTCTGTGCTCATCGCTGCTACCGACTTGGCAGAACCAGTAGAATACCACCACTGGACTGCAGAACACCCAGACATGGAAAACATTTCTTCCGTGAACATCCTTAAAGCCCAACTGCTTGACAGGCTCATTTGCTGACAGGAATATGTATTCAGTAGCCTGGCCTTTTTAAAGATGCCAGCTGTTACAGAAACCACATTTCCTCTCTTTACCTCCACACTCAGAGAAGACAAGCAACGCAGAATATCACATTTCCCACATGAATTTTGTTTTTAAATGTTAAAAGTATGGGAATACACACCGTCTTCAAAAGATGTTGTGTCAGACAAAGAGCTGCTCTCAGATGGGATAATTTCATCTGTGGAGAAGCAAAAAGAAAAAAAAAGAATACTCATGAGCAACAAAGCTGCGGTTTGGAACTGTAGATACATTATACTTTAGAGCATACAATCATTAAGACTGCATGTAATCACTCAGGGATCACATACTTCCAGGATAGGTTGCTATGGAACGAGTAAAATGAATAATTAAGAACAATTATCAGTAAAGTGGAGTCTGCTTTTCCTTAGCTGGAATGTTAGCTCCAAGTAATCATCGCTAAGACGCTAACAGAACAGACTAAGTCACCGATATACTGAAACCAAACAAGTCAGCTGCTATTCATTTTTAAGATTCTTTTACATACTACAATAGTGGCTATTGAAGATAACAAGGGCTACATAGTCCCACAACATTTGCTGCACTTTGGACAAATGTTAAAACACTGCAGTGCGCTGGAATCTTAACATCATAAGCCCTTACTGAGGACAACTGACACTGACAAGAGTGTGCGATATATTTAATTTATTCCCAGAATATATTGAAATCAAACCTCTCTCTGCAATTGGGTCTTCAATGAAAATTGTGTTTTCAATAAAAAAAAAATCCTCATGACCAAAATTAGGGAAACATACTGGATCATTGGAGAGCATCTTGCTGCCTCTCCCTGATCTACAGGGTTGTTTTGTTGTTGTTCACTTACTTAAGCAGAGGTGGTATTCAGCAACTTCTGACCAGTTCTGGAGAACCAGTAGCGGAAATTTTGAGTAGTTCAGAGAACCGACAAATACCACCTCTGACTGGAGATTTTGCAGTATCCTTCCCCTGCCATGGCCACCAAGCCATGTCCACAGAACTGTAGTAAAAACATTTGAATCCCACAACTGCACTTAAGTCATGTCCAACTCTTTTCAACCCCATGGACCATAACACACCAAGCTCCCCTGTCCTCTCGTCTCCCAGAATTTGCTAAAATTCATGTTCATTCTCTCAATGACACTATTTAACCCTCTCATCCTCTGCTGTCCCCTTCTCCTTTTGCCTTCAACCGTTCCAAGCTAAGTGCTTAGAGTTTTGCTTTTATGATTCTCTTTGGCTGGAAAAAGGCCAGGAAAGATTATTTCCTCTTGTCCTTGATGTCAAAAAAGGGAAACACTAGAACTACTGAACGTAGTTAATCAAAGCATGACTTTTTTCTAAGGTCATAGTAAGGTGGTGCCAACATTGCTCTAACCTGAAGCTCTTAATGGTAGAGCAAAGGGTGAGGTACAAACTGCAGTTTGAAAATCAAAGTAAATGCCAGGCTGTCATCAGAAATAATGCTGATGACAAGAGAACAAATGCACCAAGAGTTGTGCAGTTCCCAAGTTCACTTGCACATCAGTCGCTGAAATGTCCCGCAAGCTTTCTACCCAAGGAATTGACTCCTTGTAGAATATGCTTGTTGAATCATTAATTGTTGCTCCAGTTGTCAAAGCTCTGATCAGTTTCTCAGCTTTCATTCTAAGCCACTGGCAACATTCATAGTTTTTCCAGCTTCTTCAAAGAATCCATTTCTGGCATTCAAATCATTTTCCTCTATGAAAATGCTTATGTATAAATAACTCTAATCTGCTTAACTTTCTATTTGATAAGGTAAGTGAAACAGAACTTCATATATGTCTCCCTGTACCAGTTGGTTTCCCAACAATCGAGGCATTTAGCAAGCTCTCCTACATACATTTCAAAACTTTTCAAAATGCAGACATCAGCTCTGGGCCAAATCATTCATACCTATCTAATACCTTCCCTCCTACTTGTCTGCCCAGCAGGGAGCTGTTTACAACTAGATGAAGTGAATGCCTTATCCAAACTCCCCAGAGTAAAACACCTGAATGCCTGGAGCCCTCAAAATTAAATCACCGCAAACACACTGGCTTCTCAAACAACAATAATAATAGGTAATAGAAAATGAATAAGGTGAAGCGCTCTTGAATAAGCTAAAAATCTCTAAAGTGACTTTAGGATTCAAAAAGACAAGCACCTTCCACATAACACCAGTATTGTTGATAAGAAAGAAAAAGTCTGGATAGACCATAGTTTTTCCACCCTGGAAATAAAAATATATAAAATCTAATAAAGTGTAAGTAAGATTGTCTATGGAGATTCTCAGTCATGCAGGTCATGGTTGTCCTGAAGATGCTTTTTCAAGAGGTAACTGGACTTCCTTGTTTTTCTTTGAAGAAGTTTCACTTCTCATCCAAGAACTTTCTGCAACTCTGTCTGGATGGTGAGGAATGGAAGAATTTAAAGGATTTAAATCTTCCCATTCCCCACCATCCAGTCAGAGCTGAAGAAGGTTCTTGAATGAGAAGCGAAACTTCTTCAAAGAAAAACAAGGAAGTCCAGTTGACTCTTGAAAATATAAGTAAGATTGCTTAGGATTTGATTGGTGAATTAATCTTTTGCTTATTAAAAGCTCTCTCCAGCTGAAGGTAGGCTGAGAGATTACTAAAGCTGCCTATGTAAAAAATAAGGGGCAAGTTGCTACCCACTGACAGAGAGCCCTCGGTGATGGCTCATGCATGTAAAAAATCAAGAAAGTGATGAAAAGTGAAAGGAATAGTTGTAAGAACAAGTGGGTAAAACAGGTACAAGTACTGGAGTTTAACAATATGTCAAAGTTTTTCCAAAGGCCAAGTTTGGGACATAAACAAGAGGCCATAGGCAGCTGATTCCAAAGTTTGAAAATCGCTTGGGTTATAAAATGTAGAGCCAGTTCATTAAATCCCTTGTGCAATCGGTTCAACCCCATCTTCCCTTATGCTCTCTGTTCACCGACTATAACTGGACCCTCACAGGGTGAAAAGGGAGTGGAGTCTCTTTCAAGTGACCTTGCGCCCTCTGCTGTGATGTACTCTCACCACAGTCATTCTTATGGGAACAGGTGAAAAGCAAGAAAGTGGTTTAAGGCTTGTGAGGCTCTGATCCTTTCTCATTTTAAAGACTTTGGCAATTGCCTGGCTCTTCCTGCTCTGTGGAATGTTGAAATTGTGAAAGGCAAGACTTTTGGCTGCTTTTCTTGGACTGCCTTGTGAATCAGCAAAGGTGATATAACGGGCTGAGCCCATGGGCGTGAACTCGCTCTCTCCTTGTATAACCTCAGTTTGGAGAACTGCATTATCAGCTTCTGGATCTGTTTATTCCTCTTCCTCCCTGGTGGAGCATTCCAAGAGCTTTGGTTCCCAAACACCTGGAAGATTCCAGTTTGGAACACACTGCTCTGATACAGGGAGTCCTCGTTTACCGACTGCCCCATTCAGCAACCTAAATTATGACGGCACTGAAAAAGTAGTTTATGACCAGTCTTTGAATTTGTGGCTGTCACAGCATTCGGCACTGATGTGTTTGCCACTTGTGACATACTGGCAAGCAAAGTCAATGGGGAAGCCAGCAGGAAATCACAAGTCCCAATCATGTGACAGCTTTCTTAACAACCACGGTGATTCACATAACGACTGCAGGCGAACTGACATTGTAAATCCACGTGGGCACGTGATGTTCCACTTCATGACTGCATCACTTTCAGCAATAAATTTGCCAATCCCAATTGCTGTCGATAAATGACTGCCTGTATATACCATTTCTGCATTATGATTTGTTGTTTTATTTGTATGCTATGCAGGCTTCATTCTTATTGTCTTGCTGAGCACAAAAACCTGACTCACCAACTCAGCTGCCTTTTTATCTCGTTCCCTCTCCTCCTCTCCCATCCAACACTTGTTAGGAGGAGGCAGGCAGGTGGGGGAAGACCATGCTCTAGCGATCGGCTTGATTTGTTATGGATGGTGCGCAGCCAACAAACACACCAAACAGCCACATTCTGCTCAAATCAGCATCTGATTCTTGACGGAACACGGTGCCACACTAGTTTTGCCTGGAAAAAGGCCACCAGCCCTTCCAGCCAAATTAAAATGCTTTAATTTGCTTTTCCCCTCCAACGTGTTGGCACTTGTCGGAATAAAAGGCTTCATCTGGGTTCTGTCTGAACCACATCTTACATGAAAACATGACAATCAGATTACAGGTAAACTCCTACGTTTGCTGAAGTCAGGGTTATAATCCAACTGTTTTTTTTTCCCTCTGAGGAGCCTGGATCTTTCATTTCTGCTACATAAATATGCTAGAAAAAAATAACACTGAAAAAGACAGAGGTGCATACCGATAGACAAAGAGCCCTGGCAGCACAAATTAAAGGCAGGATTTATTTATTTTTTTGATACCTGGTAAAATCAGGGTGGACTTTTGCGCAGGTTTCTTCCCACATTTAATTCTATATTCATTGATGGAATTTTCAATCTCCTGGAGCTTCTTCACAGCCTCTGTATAATCTTGTTTTCTTTTCTTTTTCACGTTTTTGCACAGGTCTGGCTCACCAGCCAACTTCTTTGCCGCTTCCACAAACTTTTGCTGGATGAGAAAATTGCTTTCCAGATTTTGCAGGGTTGGGTCCTACAGAAATTTAAAGTCAGTCCATCCATCAATTGGGATTTGCCATAGAAGACACAACATCAATTTAAGCTATACTTTTAAGAACCAAACAACCACAAAAAAAACCCCATCACAGGTCCCCCCCCCCATACATGAAACGAAAAATAGCTGGTCTTTTCACCAGCTTTAAGGTCCTTTTAATTCTGCCATAGCCCATCATTAAGAAGCCAACCTTTTTACACCACATTTATTATAAAGTTCGGTATCTTTCCAGGACCAGCTATGGATTTGCACAACTGTCGTTCTGTGAACAAAAAGCTGCCCATACTTTCCTGCAGTGTACTGCATTTAGTAAAATGATAGCACTGACGTAATGCTCATACATCATATTCTCATATAAGAATCAGACAAGACTCCAGCCAATTGTATTGTCAATGTTTTGACAAACATGTCACCAAACTTCTATAGTGCAACCCAGAATATCTGCAGAATATCAAGATGGTATATATGACTTCCATAATCCAAGCTCTGCCTCTTTTTTTGATCTGTGATGCATATTCACGCAAGTGATGGCAATTTAATTGCACACCTGGGAGGTCGCCATCTTTAATTTTGGGAAACTCCTCCCCAGATGCCCCTAAACTAGAGGCAGCTTTGTGGAGGGAAGAAGAGGGGGTGGGGCTTAAAAAAAGCAGGAAAAGAAAAGTTAGACAGTATTTTTAGGCCACAGCTACAGAATAGCAATAGCACTTAGACTTATGTACCATTTCATAGTGTTTTTACAGCCCTCTCTAAGCAGTTTACAGACTCAGCATATTGCCCCCAACAATCTGGGTCTTCATTTTGCCAACCTCGGAAGAATGGAAGGCTGAGTCAACATTGAGCTGGTGAGATTCAAACTATCAAATTGCAGTCAGCAGAAGTAGCCTGCAGTACTGCATTCTAACAACTGCACTACCACGGCTCTATAGAAGAATGCCATCTAAGGCAAGGTAACTTACAAATACTGAAGGACATTTAGAGAACACATGAAGAAATACAGTACAGGTAGTCCACGACTTACAACAGTTCATTTAGTGACTGTCTGAAGTTATAGTGACACCGAGAAAGGTGACTTATGACAATTTTTCACACTTATGACGCCTCCAGATGCTTGGGAGTCATAGATGCAACTGACTCATATTTATGATGTTTGTCGTGTCCTGGGATCATTTTGCTATCTTGTGATAAGCAAAATCAATAAGGAAACCAGATTCACTGTGCTACTAACTTAACAACTGCAAGTGACTCACTTTAACAACTGTGGCAAGAAAGGCTGTAAAATGGGGGCATAACTTACTTAACATAACTTACTTACTTAGCAGCAAAAATGTTGGGCTCAACTGGGGTCGTGAGTCAAGGATTACGACCCACAATTAAATAAGCACCTGCATAACATCTTTCTCCAATCAATTCTAGTGTTCTATAGACCCCTTCCCAGTAGAGATACGTATGTTTAGATAAAGTAAATCCACATTTAAAAGATGAGCAGCATTAATCTGAAGTGAGAGTAAGAAAGTATGCCAACTGCCCTTTCAGCTGAAAAGCATGGACTTTACTTCCATACTGGGCAGAAAAAAACATGTGAACAAAACAAGCTCATTTGGTGGGGCGAAACTCATGCTTCCTTCCTGGAAGCCTGCTTTTCAAGTGACAAAAAAACCACACAACCTGCTCTACCTCCACCCTTACTTTGCTCAGCCAGGGTGTTGAACCCATTTTTCTTCCTGTTCAGCTGACATGCAGTTTAATGCAAGACTGTAAGTCTATGATCAATATGGCAAAGACTCTGAATCTGTGACAATCTTAAGCATTGTTCAGAGCACACTTGCAAAATAGTTGCAGTGATGATTCGTGGCTTTATTCCTCTAGTTACCAAGAGGTGAATAAAGCTTCGGCTTATAACCACTCACTCTTTTATATTCTCCGAATGCTCGTGTGCTTGAAGCACTGTTATAGCAATAGCAACAGCACTTCGACTTATATACCACTTCGTAGCCCTCGCTAAGCCATTTACAGAATCAGCATATTGCCCCGACAATCTGGGTCCTCATTTTACCGACCTCGGAAGGATGGAAAGCTGAGTCTTATGCTTGAAACTAGAGCTCTGTTTTACAGCATAATTGCTTTTCAGTCTTTTTTTTTTTTTAACAAAGATATACCTACCTCCTCATTGGGTAGCAGATTGTCATCCAATCTGAATGTCGTACCTACACGCCTTCTGACTTGAGGAGGCTTCTCTCCAGTGTTCAGAGGATATTCCTTTGGCATTTTTCCAGTGAGCTCCTACAGAATATAAGAAGAGCACCCTTAGCAACCCGAGAAAGGGTGAATGAATACTCCATGCTTGACTGGAGCGAAAACAAGGGGCCTCACCGCCTCCCGCAGGCAGATCTTCTTCAACTCTTCAACTTTCTGCAAGAGTTTCTCCTGCAAAAGCTTTTCTTTCTTTCTCAGTTCTAAGATTTTCTCTTTCTTCTGCTCTTCGCTCACTTCTGAATCTTGTGATCCTATAAAAGCAATATATAGGGTTTGAGGCGAGAGCCAATATTTGTGGATGTAAGAAAAATGAACAAAACAAAAACAAAGGAAAAGTACAAATGAATCCCTGTGAGAAGCAGACATGCTAAATAGCCATAGAATGCTAACTAGCTGTTTGCAGACTGGTGGGGAAATGGTGTTTGGGAGAATATAAATGCTTAGAATACCATAACTTGTATTGCAACTCAACTTGTTAGCTTTAGCATTGAACAGAATGTCTTCACATCTTTCCCTAAACTAACCATGACATTTCAGCAGCACTACAATGAAATTCAATCAACATTCCCTAATTTTAGCTCAGACAAACATGCATGCAAATGCTTTCTTTAAATGTATGCAAATTGATTAAACTCATTAGATTATGAGGTAAATTCAAGAGTGCTGTAAGAAGTAAATATCAGTTACTGCTTGATTTCTATCTATAATACTTTATAATTATATTAATACTTCCTTTTCAAACATATTTTTTACATAGGCTGAGCAGATCCCGAAAAATTAGATGGTTGTAGGTTCCTCAATGGATTAAACAAGGTTTGGAACGGGTTTTTTCACCTGAAGATTAAAGTTGTCCTTCTTACAAAGGTACAGAATCTAAAAAGGCTTATTGGGAGGAAGTATGATTAAAGTCCTAAAGTGGAGATCATGGAAAATCTAATTCAAATTCTCACTTGACCATGGAGTTCAGTGGGAGACTAGATCAACAGTTTTCTCTTCGTTTACCACAAACCATGACGCTAAAATAAGGAGTAAGCCTAAACTACATTATCTTGAGCAATCTAGAGGGAAGTTGGGTTATAAAGGTATCAAATCAGCTAGTTTTTTTTCTTAAATTAGCCTTTTCAAAGAGGGTGACTCCAGATATGTTGATAAGTGCCTCTGGCCACAATGGCTATGAATTCTGGGAAATATAGTTTCAATGAATTTAATATATTAAAATACAATATAAGGTTGGGGACCTTTATACTACAGTCCTGGAAGGCTAGATTTCAGTTCAATACATTGAACCACAAATCCCTGAATGTGGGACAGGTAAATTGGTTGCTATATCAACATACAGAGCAAAACTACAGGAGATTTCTGATTCCAGAGAGTTCGAGGCCACTTGGGTGGAGCAGACAGAAGATATGACATATGAATGTCCTAATGCCACCCTGAAAGTTGGCCTGAATAAACCTGCATAGCAAGAGTAGGGTTGAATGTAAAGCAGATCAAACAGAGTGTAAAACTATTTTTCTTCCTTGCAACTAGTAACTTCTTGCATGAGTACCCAAGAATGGGGTGGCTAGATCTAACTATTTGCAATATAATTGGTCCCTTCCGTATTACCAAAACTATCACATTTGCACAAAACTTGTCCTGAGACTGCTGTTTCACAAGTACACAATGCAGGGTAAGCAGGAGAGATCGAGAAATTGGTTCCACCCATCTTGATTTTGTCACACTTCACGTGATCTTGATTCTATCCTTCTGTTTATGCATTTCCTTTATGAAAACTCATTACGATACCCCAAACTGATTGAGATATTTCCCTCCTCCCCCGAACCTCTGCTTAAAGCTTGCCAAGGACTAGCAAGGGTTTTTGTTGGATTTGCCATGTCCAATTATACATTTATCTGAGGTCTCATATTAATAGGTTTTCTTCTATGTGAGGAACTATGGCCCTTTTATGACTTGTGGACTTCAACTGCATACTGAGCCATACTAGCTCAGGAATTCTGGGAGTTGAAGTCCACAACTCGTAAAAGAGCCATAGTTCCCCACCTCTGATTCAGAGTGTATCCAGCACCGCGCTCTATGGTACAAGCAAGACTCAGAGATGCAAACGTTTCAAAGGGGCAAGACTTCCTACCTGAAGAGATTAAGCTACCATTGCTGGCCATAATAAGTTGATTCTTTGCTTCCAAAGCTGTTAGCTTTGAAACTTTTGGAACTCCTGTATCTGTCAGGTCCATTGCAATATCATCTAAGCTTCTGGCTGAGGGGATTTTTGCCTGAAAAGATGTCGAAACAAACAAAAACAATGCACTACCATGTATCAGCAAGTTAACCGTCATAAAATAAAAGGCAGCAGAACACATTTCATACTGTTTCCCAAAGCTAAATATATATTGCTTTGAGACTTAACTTGTTTTCTGGGTATTAATGATTAAAAACACAAGCCAATGCTTAATTAACCATTAGAAATGTTCAAAATGAATAGAAGGGAAAAGAAAGGAAAATGAAATTCATAAATGAAACATTGAATGTGTTTTTTAGAACATTTCTCTAGCTGTGGCTGGAAGTAGCATGAAATAGATTAAATAACTGCACTGCTGCTCAAATATAATACTCAAAACTGGACTGTATTAACTCTAGCCTTTCAACTCAGTCTTCCATCCTCCCAATGAATTTTAAAATATTTACAAATGATAAAAGAATCAATTCTGCCGTTTGTTCAGAATCACTAAAATGGATATTTTTACAAGGTAGGCTACAAAATATCCTGGGCTAATTTGCAAGAATGCAAATCTTCAATTAATAACCACTCATTTAGCAACCATTTAAAGTTGTGATAGTGCTGAACAAGTGGCATTTGTCCACAATACTCAGGCCGTTGCAGCATCCCCATGGTCACGTGATCGCAATTTAAGAGCTTGGCAATCGACTCGCACTTATATGAGCCTTTGTCAAAATAGTAAAGGTGGGATACAACATACAGACAAATAACATTTGCAGTGCCCCATGGTCACACGAACGGCCTTTGCAGCTTTCCCCTGCCAGCTTCTCACAAGCCAAGTCAATGGGGGAGCCAGCAAGGAAGTTTACATATTGCTCCTGCTACTCCTTCTTCTCCCCAGGAGCCCACTAAGAAGTATGACATCCCTACAATCTCATACTCCATAGCTTGCATGCCCTCCTACAACAGCCCCCTGGCCACGCTCTATAGCGCCTGCCCGTTCCAGTCATACCTCACTGGAAATACATCCTTCCCCCAACACTCCGTAGCACTTATCCATCCACTGGCCCGCTTACAGGGCCCCTGGGACTTGCAACTTTGTGCTGGCTTCCTGATTGACTGTGCTTGTTGGAAGCTGGCAAGAAGTCCTAAGTTGCAAATCATGTTAGGGTTCTTGCTTAACAACTCACGATCTTCTATTAACAACAGCAACAGGGACTGCCGGGATTGCTATCACAAAGCAATATGTTAAGGTGCCACTGCTTAGCGATGGGAATTCCAATCCCAATTGCTGTTATAACCCAAGGACTGTTTTTATATAATCACTCTGAAAGACTTCAAATCCATAGGGCAATTCTACAATTACATTAAATATCACTGAAGATCACTTACTTTGCTTTGTTTCCTGTCCAAGTAAAACTGATGTTGACTGATTGCCATCACCCAGATGGATTTGATTAGAGAAGTGTTCGCATACCAGGTTTGTACTACGAGGCCACTCTGTCCAAAGGTCCGCCTTGATACTGAAATTCTAAGCATTTTTTATAACTTAAAGTGAATATTGCTTTTTTTGTAAAGGAGAGGGAGAGGGAGGGAGGGAGTGGGGGAGAGGGGGAGAGAGAGCGGGGGAAAACATATTCTAGTCATGTGAAGTCAACCTCTTAGATTAATCTTTGCAGTATGTAGAGGTTAAATAAGCAAAGAAGCAATTAACCAACTAACTGGACTCCCAAATAGTTAACACTTCAATTTTTAAATGTTTATATTGTACCTAGCTTAGTTCTCAACTAAGATAGCAAACCCGTGCCTGGCTGTACCACTTAGATTATATAAGAAGCGGCAGCAACTGCTAGAAAGACTGAACGTTCATTCCCAATAGGAGGGGGGGGGGGGAAGAACTATCAGGGAGAAATTTCAGACAAAGCAGAATTTACTCAGGCCCATCCCCAAGGCCCCACCTTTCCCACGTGGCTAGAAAAGAGGTTTCTTTACACCTAGGCTTTTCTTTCACTGGAAAACTGAGTCACAAACCCGAAGCTACTTCCTTCGGAAATGATACAAATAGTTTTTGAAACTAAAAAAAAAAAAACCTATAAAAAGTTTTGTTGCAAATGTTAGTGAAAAACAACAGATGGAAATGTACATGTTTCTGAAGGAAGAGCTGAGGTGGAGCACAATTTCCATTGCTGTTTCCAGAAGCCAGCACTGGAAACGTTCTCAGCCAATATTGACATGAGGAGCAAAGCTGCTAGGGCTGTTCTTCAGCAATCCTTGCTGTCTTAGTTCAGTGCACAGATGGGTGAAATATAAACATATCCCCCTTTGGGATGAAGTGTGTAGTGATTATGTTGCATTCCAGCTTATTGTTATATCAACTGAACTAGTTTCTTCTCTGTGGCTTCTGAATATAGGTTAACTTGAAGGAATCTTGTGCTTTCAAAAGGTTTACAATTTGTATGAGTTGGAAGAGATGTTTTAAAAATAAAACACCAAAATATGGACTTCACTTTAAAGGGGTGGTCTGGGATTCATTTTAAATATTTCCAGAATATTTGATCTGCTTGAACTGCTTCTGCCCACTAAGAATTATGCATTTGCTTATATCAGCCTTCTGCAAAGCAACGCCTCAGGATTACAAGTCCCCCAAATTTCCAGGCAGAATGAATGCTGTAGGACAGTGGCCCCCAACCTTTTGTGTGCCACGGCCCAGCACTGGCATCACAAAATGATCCGCGGCCCGGTACCGGCATCAGCACACATGACAAGACAAGGCAAGCCGAGCGACCGGCCAGCCAGCCGTCCCCCGCTTCTCCCCGCCACCTTCAACTCCTCCTTTGTACCTTTGTCGATGGGCTTCGCTTCGGGATGGCTTCAGGACGGCCGCTTGGCTCGCCTTGCCTTGGGTGCTGAAGGAATCCTCGCGCCTTAGTTTTGTTCGAAGCTCCCCCCCTTCGATGAAACTAAGGCGCGAGGATTCCTTCAGGACCCAAACGCTGCTTTCCAACCGGAAAAGCTCACCCGGAAGCACTTTCTGGTCAAACAAGATGGCGGTGCCCAGCAAACCAGCGGCCCGGTAGGAAATGTTCCACGGACCGGTACCGGTCCACAGCCCGGTGGTTGGGGACCCCTGCTGTAGGACATGGGTGTCAAACTCTGGGCCGTGGGCTGGATGCATCACATGCTGGCCATGCCCACTCCCGGTTTAGCGAAGAGGGGAAAAGTCTCAATAAGTGACGTGACAACATGACGAGTTTGACATCCCTACTGTAGGAATTCTAGAAGCTGAACATTATAATCCTAAACATTCTAAAAGGCATTAGAATTTGTTTATGTGGGTAATTTGTACCACTTTCTTTGCAACACTTAATATGTAACATTCTTTCAATAGTTTTTTTTTAGTTTACACCAACTTTTTTATTGTTATTATAAATATATCCATGGCTTTTTTTCAGGAACTGATTGGAATAGTAATGGGAAAAAGGGCTACAATGCTAATCCTCTGGTTATATTAGACATAAACGCTGCATGGAGCTATTTCATGTAACTTACATATGCTTGGGAAGCAGTGATGTTGAGTTCATTCCTTTCAGATTAGCATAATGGGGAGAGCCATAATATTATAAAACATTTTGCCCCCTTGGGACGGATGCACATTACAACTTAGCATCATGTGTGAGTATGGAATAAGCATAGACTCCCACAGAATTAGCAACTCATCCAGTCAGACAGTTAGAGTAAGTGCCTGGTTGCTTACCTGTGAGGATCATGAACTTCTACTGCAAATTTCTTTTCACGAAAATAGAGATTCTCCAACTGCTTCCACTGAAATAACTAGAAGAAATAAATAAATAAAAAGCAAAAATATAAATATCTCAGAACTCATAATTTATTTTCTCTCTACATTGCTAATAATCTGGTAACCTAACAGAATTCCAAGCTACAGCTTAGAATTATGCAAAACAAATCCTATTCTTTGAAGTATTTCTAAAATTAAAATGGCTACAGTAACATACTTTCTATATTTCTACCTTTACATAGCGCCACAACCACACAATTATAGGTTATTTTGCATTTGCAAATAAAATTAATGTGCATAATGAAACATGAAATGCTTTTCTTGCTGTGATGTTTGAAATGACCGAATTGAGACCATCACTGATGGAGACCTTGTGTAGTTTTTGTCTTGGAATAGCATGTTATTAGGCAGGACAATTAAACTGAACCTTGATATTACTTCTCTATATAGAGCAGGGGTTCAAAACTAGATTTCATTGAGAGCTGTATGAGGGTTGTGACTGACCTTGGGGAGCTGGCTGGGCATGGCTGGAGTGGTCGTGTCAGGGTAATCACAGCCGACTGGGTGGTTGTGGCTGGGGTAGTCATGGCCAGCTCGACATTGTTCGTGTCAGGGGGGGGGGGGGGGGGGGCGGGGGGGGGGGTTTTCCCTTTGTTCCGGGGGCGGCGGGGGGGGGGGGGGGGGGGGGTGAGTGCCAGTGGTGGGCATTGTCCATTGTCTCCAGCGCATACCCAGGGGGCAGCAGCAGCCTCTTGCTACTCCAGGAAGGCCCCGCAGAAGTAAGGCTGACCACTTTCCAGCCCAGATGGCTGTCACCATGTTTTAGATCAGTTCCTGGCCAACTTGGGCTGGGGGCTGAGGCGCCGGTCCTTTGCTGTTTCCAGGGCAGCCTTGTGGGCCAGATCTAACCACATCGTGGGTTGGATCTGGCGCCCAGGACTTGAGTTCGATAACTCTGATATAGAGTTTGAAACACACAATTCCACACAAAATACATGTAACTAATAGGGTCTGTATAGATTGCCTAAAGCTGCAGTCTTAATAATTTCAAAGCATTTCCAGGCTTGTGGACTGCTTGTGGAGCACATGGATCAATCATCTGTTTACACACACGCATTCATCATTGTGTTTTTAGGACTGGAAGTATCCAACAAGTTGCACGAAAAAGGAGACCAACTGAATAGAGGGAGAAGTGGTCAAATCCTATAGAAACTCTTGAGGATAGATATTATGCAGTGAGCTAGGTAGCCTTTAGGTGGAAGATTGTCTACATCTGTTGTGAATGCTTAACTAGATATAATTCCCACTAAACTGAATAGTGTTTAGTTTGGAGTAGACAATTACAGGATTGCCCTGTACTTTCTTTTTAATATGGCCTTCTGGGTAAACCATGGTTCAGCTCCAACTCTGACACATTCCCTGCTATAAAAAGCAAAGATTTGTGGAGAAGGAGGGAGGGAGAGCATCTCAACTCATGAAAAGAACAACAAATCCCCCCCCCCCTCCTGCAATCCATGTCTCACATATGCATATAACAACACTTCTCTTTCCATGAGCCCTCATAGCTTTCTTTGTCTTAAATGGCAACAAGGAGTCATCATTTAACAACTGCCGTCTTTACACTGTGTGACAAGTGCTATTTCTCTGACTGAGATTATGATGAATGCAATGAAAATCTCCACAAGTCTGCTAAAGTGAAAGATCAAAGTGTGATGAGGGGAATGGAGGACAAAGGAAAATCATTATGCATCTCCTGTGTTAATAAATAACAAAATAATAGTATTTTCGATAATAGTTTAATACCACCCATGCTTCATTGATTGATTGAGTCAGAGAGAAAAGAAAGAAAGGGGGGGAGAGAAGGCCAAAGTCAACCAATCACCTTCCATGGTTGAGGTTGGACTTCAACCTAGGTCTCCTAGTCCCAATCCAACTGATTCACAACTTAACACACTGGCTGTCAGGGATAACATCTGCTCTTTGGAAGATTAACATCTTCTTAAGTGTTGTACCTTATGATTCTTGATGAATGTATCTTTTCTTTTATGTATACTGAGAGCATTTGCACCAAGACAAATTCCTTGTGTGTCCAACCACACTTGGCCAATAAAGAATTCTATTCTATTCTATTCTATTCTATTCTATTCTATTCTATTCTATTCTATTCTATTCTATTCTATTCTATTCTATTCTTTTGGGAAGGGTGGCTTGACGCAGCCTTTTGGAATGCCTTCTCAATTTTTTTGATACAGTCCTAGAGCCCTGAGATTTCATGCTGGCTTCTCATCCAAGTCCTCGCCAGGCCAGTTCTTTTAGCATCACAGTTTAATCAAGATTGGCCAGATGCTACTTGAAAAACCCTCTGATTAGTGTTGAATGTGTGATATGGAAGAGCATATCAGTAAACAAAAAAAATATACTATCTAGATCAGTGTTTCTCAACCATAATAAACAGATGTGTGGACTTCAACTCTTGGAATTCCCCAGTCAGCCATTCCCCCAGCAAGATCAGTGTTTCTCAACCATAGGCATTTGGAAGATTTCCAAATTTC